GAAAGAGTGCTCAGCTAGAACCCTACAACAACAATATTCATATGATATTCCAATGTCTTCAACATCCAAAATCTTAAAACAATTTCAACTTTATTCAAGTTAGATGGTTTCTGGGTAACTGAAATGGCAAGAAAGAGTCACCTGTGGACAGCATCAGAGTCAGCTGAGTGGCACTTCGGATTCATGTATGCATCAATGACCTGCAGGATCTGCTTCAAACCTTCATTATTATGGCTAATTCCTGACGCAACAAGTTGGAGTTGCAGTCTTAAAATGCGATTCTATGATAAAATATTTCGTGGGAAACCCCACAAAACAACAAAGACCTGAATAGAAAACAAACATATCAATTGAAAGTCACAAGATTAGTGAGGTTGCTGCTTCAAAAACCATTCGTATTAGTTTCTCCTTCTGATGGGTTTTCCTTTTTGCTGGATATGAGAGGTAAAGCTTTCTTCTTTGCATTTCTGGGTTTTTTCACAAAGGCAAGTCCTTCTGATGCAATCCTTTTAAGGATAAGATTGTCTCCAGTAGATCTGATGATCTCGCAAGCTTTATCCTGTATATAGGAGAAAATTCAAGCATAAGTATTTCGCTGAGCACCTCCAAGTAAGACTCAAAGAAACTAGAATGGTTGAGAAACTGGATAGATTAAAGGTTTGAATAATGAGTCAACAAACCTGACCAAGACCAGGAACTCCCTGAAAGTAGTCACTGCCAAGCAGAAGGGCCAGAGCAATCTAGAGTATCACCGAATAACAAGTTATATAAGACACACGACCATTAGGCAACTGAAATTACAGATAACATCAGAGTAGTTGAGAAACGACGTTTACTGTAGCCAAATACCAATACAAGTAAAGAAATGGAACTTCACTGTCATAAACTTTAAAAACAAAACAAAACATGAAGCTACAATGTTCTGACAGAAACCACACACAGACATACACTAATCAGATGCACAAGCATAAAGTATACTGCCTCAGGTCAAATATCACCAAAGAGCGGTTGTCTGGATTTCAAATTATGAGAGTCCATCAGTTGCAACAATGCATTTAGCAGTCATGCCTCTGCCTCAACACCAGAGATCAAAGTTA